AATTTAACTGACAACTGGAATAAACATGGATGTTTACAGCATACACAATAGAATTTACAAACCCCACAGGAGACCAAACATTACTCAGGAATACAAGTATTGCACATAGTGAAAATGTATGCTTCAGTAGTTGATGTCCATTGATTGTTACTTAAATAAATATTTCATTTCTGTGTGTCCTTAATATATAGAAGGAGAAGTTTTTTCTGATGTACAGATATATTTTCTACCTAGGACAATTTTGCCCAGGGTACTTTAAAACATTCCAAAGATGCATGTGGCATACTTTACACCATACTAACCATTTCTTCCAAGACAGTCTCCTCTTCCGGATGATCTACTCTCACAGCTTTGGGAGGATGTTTAACCCTGGAAATCTTGCCTTTATTTACTTCTGAGAGGTCTACCTCTGAATCTCCATCTTTGGTTGAATGGGAACTTTGAGAAATCGTTGGCTTTCCCGTCAACTTTGACGATGGTCGTTTTATTCTTGCTGTTCTATACTTTTGAATGCCACATTCATCAAGGTGTTGTTCTTGGTCATCCATAAAAGCAAAAGCATCCGACACATTTGAGGGTTCTTTTGAACAGCTTTGGCTAAATTCAGACTTACTATTTAACACTAAGGTTTTTGTTCTCTTTTCACCGACAGGTGCTGTCCTTTTAATATCTCCTGAATCTTTTATACTATTAGTAATATTTTCAACATCCTGAGACACTGAGTGGCTTTGATCCATCTTAGGGGTTTTAACAGTGAGAGAAGTTTCTCTAATGGGAATTTCACTATCACTGACACACTCAGTTCTATCAATTGGTTTCAACGTTGTAAAATTCCTCTGCTTTTCTGAGTCAGCCTGGACATAAGAGACAGCCTTGACATAAGTGTCAGCCTGGAAATTATTAGAATCATCCTGGACATCAGAGTTTGCTTGGACATGAGATTCTATAGATTGTGAAGCTAATCCTGAAGTAATGTTCGAATCGTTCCCATCGACTAAGTTTCTGAAAGCACCAGACAAGTTTTTGGAAAGAAAAGACAATCTTGGCTTTGCGGTAATAGAAACTTTGTTGGAAATAGTCCCCAGGCTACTATGCTTTTTCAAACATATATTTTGTGTTTTGTTGAAAATGTTTCCTTTAAGGGTAAAGTCATCCTCATCTTCTGGCTTGGGCAAACTATCACTATTTGATGTTGAGCTTCCTGCGCATAATGAGCCTGAGTGTGATGATGATAACTCTTGAATATTGAAACTATCACTATCTGATGTTGAGCTTCCTGCGCAGCACAATGAGCCCGAGTGTGATGATGATAACTCTTGAGTAGTGTCATTTCCAGATGGAAATTTCTAAATTTAAAAAAAATGAAATGAAAATTATTGTTTAAAATTGTGCATGTTATGGTTCTGAATTGTAGGCTATTGTACTGTATTGCGTAGACTAATTAGACTGATTATTGTGAAGGCTATTGTTCTATATTTTGTGGACAAAATGTACAAGATCTTTGCTGAAAAAAATGAAGAAACGACAAGAAATAGAAAGTAGTTCGAAAACTCAATTGCTCGTTATTAATGTTATTGCCGGAAGTAGGGTTTTCTAAAACCAAGATTACAGAAAGTAAAAGAATTTATGTATCATTACTGTGAAAAATAAGATTGTATGGGACCAAAATATTTTGTGTAACGATGTAAAATATTAGAAATAAGAAAAGAAATACAGGGGAATTGAGGATCACTAGTAGGAGAGCATCTGATGTCCCTTTGGGTTCATCTCTGTTGAAATGGGATGAGATCGGGGAATGTTAGCCCTGTTCAATGTCACAAAGATGTTCAGTGAACCTGTCTGCTGAGGAAGGTTCTTAGCCGAAACGTTCTTCTTTCATTGTGCTGTCTTTATATTTCAAGCATCCACTTACCTTGTTCCACTATTTCCATCAGTAAAAAAATTAGTTTGACAGAGATCAAAATTAATTTTTTTTTTGTTCTTTATTTTTACCTCTGTGAATTTTAATGTCACTGTGGACTTCAAGTGTTAAGTTGAAGTTATTCTTTGAGTCTTTTTAAAAATATTTCGTACTTGTTACTTTTCATACCGAAGCAGTTTCAAACACATTTTTGAAAACTGATTCGTAAAACAAAAGCTTACGTTTGTGAGAGCTCAACGAAAATCATCATCCTGCAAAAGATGGTATTTACAGTGTCTGCCAATTAATCTTTACATGTAATCTTTACCATAAAGAAACCTTTCTTCTGTACCCTGCGCCCGGGCTCTAGTGGAATTTTGCACAGGTTCTGAGCCAGCTTTTCTCCAAGCCTGTTTAAGGTCTCTTCCTTTTCAACTTCTTGTACATGCTGCTTGGATGGCTTCTTGTTCCATTCAGTACCCCAAACATCACCCCCTGCTTTAGTGTCAGGTAATGTCGGCTGTATTTGACAAAATAAAATAAACAGCACAAACATTTCTTTTAATGAAACATCAGTCTTATGGTAATTTAATAACATTGGTTACCTGCTATGAATAATGACAGAGAAGACTGAAGAGCGGTCAAATTAAGTTGACTTGAACAAAGTTTTTTTAAATAAATATCACTATGAAATAGTTTGCAATAAATTTGAATAGCATTAGAATTGAAATAATATAATTTAAACAGAAATTATATATATATTTATATATGTGTATGTATGTATGTATGTATGTATGTATGTATATATATATATATATATATATATGTAGATATATACATTATGTGTCTATATATATATGGCATCCTTCCGTCTTTGCAAGACGATGGAGTAGCTATGTAGTCCTACACTTCGACGAGTGGCTTACTAGGCCAATCCTGGAATGACAATCTCAACTGCATTTCTCACAGGAGAATATTGATTCCTGGTTATCTTTGGTCTTCCGTATTGTTCTTTTTGTTGCAAGGGCTTCTTTTCGCATTTCTGCCTTTTTTACTCCTTTATACACTGCTGTTCGCCAGCAGGAACGTTGTTCAGCAATGATCTCCCATTAGTTGATATAAACGTTGGTTTCCCTCATGCAACTTTTGCAAACGTCTTAAAATCTCAGGCGTAGCCGTCCAACAAGTCTTCTCCCTTCTGCCAACTCTCCATACAGAGAGCGGAGAATATGCTAAACATGTGTGCACGTTCCAAGACCTCTGTGCTAGGCACCTTGTCCTGCCATCGAATGCTTAAAATGCGACGCAGACATCTATGATGAAAGCTGTGAGTTTTCTTTGTCTTGTTTTCTGATGAAGGCTCTAAGCGGAAACGTCAAGATCTTTTGTCCTGTTTATGAATTCAAGTTTGGCACACCTTGTTCTTATATTTGACTGGGAATGCCTCAGAGACAGCGCCATTGAACGTTACTATGCTGTGCATGTTCTTGTGAAATGACTGGATGATTGTGAGCAGTCGTGTCTATAGTTAAGCGCCCACTCGGGAAGCCACACTGAGACTCTGGGTAGTTGCGGTTAGCCAGACTCTGCAATCATTTAAGGGTAACAAGGGCAAAAGTCTTTCCAACTAAGCCAAGGAGAGAAATTCCTCAGTAGCTATTACAATCACTTCGGTCCCTTTTATTTTTGTACTATGTTACGGTGTTGGCATCTCTTATGTCCTAAGGAATGTGACCTGTTTCCCAACACATGTAAGGGCTGAAGTAGTATTGTTTTTCCATTTTTGAGGACTTCCGGTGGAATGCCGTCAATCCGTGGTGCCTTCCAATCAGCAAGGTTATCAATTACCTTTTCGAGCTCCTGCACAATTGGCTCTTCATCTAGTTCTTCCAATGTTGACAAGACGGAAATATTGTTCAGATCGTTCTCATTGACTACATTCATTGTTTAGTATAGTTCAAGATTATGCTCTACCCAACGCCGGAGTTGATCGTTTGGGTTCTGGAAAATTTGATCTGTCTTGGACTTGAGTGGTGCTACTTTTGAAATGGGTCGACCTAATGCCCTCTTGATGCTCTTGTACATGCTCCTTGCATCCCCGTTTTCGGAAGCCATTTGTATATAAATTGCAACGGTCTAGCGAGTAAGTGTTGGCACAGTAGCGGGCCGTCTGCTAGAATAATTCTTTTGCAGTTCGGAGAGCCTGTAGTGTATGAGCACAAGGTACATCCCTGTAGGCAAGTAAGCCTCTTCTCTTCTTCTCAGTTACGGGTTCCATCACATTCCAATGCGCCTTGTACCAGCGATATTTTTATGCTCCATTTTACCGTAAGCGGACATGGCTGAAGAATAAACAGCACCTCGTAAATGAGTCCACATAGAGTCAATAGTGCCATCGGGTGACCCTTTAGCAAGGGTTTCCTGCAACACTTTAGTCAATTGCTGTGGTTTTTTCTGGGTTGATTGAGCAGTGGATGTTAACTCGTGGAAACTTGTTTTCAACTTAGGACTGTTGATTTGTTATCTCTTCCACAGTTGCATTTTTAAATGGTATGTCAAGAATGCCAAACCTCATGACACTGGCAGTGGAATTGTTTATATTAATAATTTGTGCATTTTTAGGGGCATCAGAAACTGACATAGACCTTAAGGTATTATGAGTTAGTGACTCTCCTAGTAGATGGTACTTACAGACTTAAGGACTGAATCATTTCCTGAACCTGTCTCCTTCTTCTTTTTAAAGTACAATTGGTATTTTTCTGTGGAGAGAAAAAAGAGTCTCCCAGTTTAGTTGAAAATGATTTTATGTTAATATAAGGGACTTTCTTTACTAAAAAAATGGTTTAATAAACTATGCATTTAAATACATAATTTTAAATTACACTAAATTTTAAAATAGCCTCCAGTAGTCTATATATTTTCAGATTATTCACTAATTAAGTGAATGTATTAATATAAGAATCACTCCAAAGTGCTTTGTCATTGCGAAAAGCTGTATCCATATATGACTGATGTTAAAAGTACCGGTAATCAAGTTGTTCAAATAAGAAAAAAATAATGTTGAACCAGGGAATTTTAGGAGAAAAAAAAATGACTGATCACAGTTCCCCTTACCCTTGATATCTTTTGGCGCTTGTGCAATATCATTCTGAAATATAATAAATAGTTTTAAAAATTTTTTAATTCCCTGAAAATGTACCTTTTATGATGGAAGATTCTACATTTTTTTAAATTTAAAAAATGTAATTTATACAAGCTGTCACTTATTCATTTACTTACCTTGTCAGGCTTCCGTTGATGCACAAGAGTGAATGCCGATTCCCACTGCTTTAAGGCCTTTCTTAAATCTTGAAGACCTTCTTCCGTCATCCTGTAAATGAATGATTAAGAGAATGTTGATAATCCTAACATGAAATAGGCAGGTCTAAATGTTCCCAACATCTCGGCAGATTTCACATATCACTGATTTCTATTAAAAAGGTTGAAGCTTCCATATGCGCATTGGAATTTGAATGTTAAAGAAGGTTTTCAAACAAAATGTTCTTATTAAATCATAGCATAGTCACAATATCAACATAAACAACTTCACGTTCATGTTAACCCACTTCACCATCAAATTTGAGTACTTTTCATACTGAATTTTAAGCAAATGATAAATTGTTTTTTTATATAAATAAGTCAATAACAATGTTTATGAGCATGATAATGATGCATTTCCAGAAATAAATGAATTGAAAAAGCCTAGGTTTCCTTAATTTCTTTTAAAAAATAAAACAAAAAGAAAAGGAGAAATATTACCATTCCTTAGGATTATGCAATATTATTCACTTTTGCCTATGACAAAATTGATGAGCATGACAATGATAAATCAAAATGAATATCACAAATGAAGGAATTGAATAAACCTAGGGTTCCATTTTTTTTTTTTTTTTTTTTTTTTTGGAAAAAATTTTTAAAAAAATAATGATATAAAATATTACCATTCCACTAGTTTTTCTTCAACAAAACTGTTTACATTTGCCTAGGCCTACTAAAAATTTAATTTTTTTGAAATAAAGGTCAAATAGGTCATCATGCAGATATGAGCAGTTTCGCAGAGTATTAGTCATATAACATACGATGACAGCAAGACGTCAATAATGAATATCGGATTTCCAGCCTATGAACAGACAGACAGTCTCATCTGAGTTAAGACAGACAGTCTCACCTTTGGTAGATGACCGATAACTCCAGTCACTTTCGGCCAAAACAGAAATTAAACCGAAAGTTGACATTTCAGTTTCGACCGAAGCCAAAATTAAACCGAAATTTAACATTTTAGTTATGGCCGAAGCAGAAATTAAACCGAAATTTAACTTTTTGGTTTCAGCCGAAACCGAAATTAGACCAAAAGGGATCAAATGGCCACTTTCGGCACCGAAATCGAAATTCGGTCGGTCTCTAATTTCAATATACATTTTTTGTTGTGCCTTATGATTTTAGACAACATGACTTCTTATCTTATTTTAAACATCCCAGACATGCCCCATGGAATAATTCATTTAAAGACTTGCCCCATGGGATAATTCATTTAAAACTCTCAGCTTTAAATTCTTTTGAAATATGTGATAGAAATGACTGCATAAGATTATTAGGAAATTGCTTTTTTATTTTTCAACTATAATTCCCAACCCTGACTAGTGTATTGACTATTATAATGTTATTTGACACAGCATCTGGAGACTTATGCATAAATATATAATAATGCAGCATGCAATCACCTAAATTAGTGGTCTTTAGCGACCTGAGTGGGCCATGGCAAGTCTGCCACAAATCGGTTTTGACTCCGAAAAATATGGTTCCTGGCAGGTTCTTGAAAAGAAATCTGGCTCTTAAAAAAAATGTAATTGTCCAGCTGCTGATTTTTGGCACTTTTGACCACTGCCCTAAATCAATGCTTTCAAAAAAATTAAGTTTTTCAGACCGTTAGATAAGTTTTCAAATTACACCAGAGACCGGTGCCTGGTTTATTAATTATATTGTCTATTTATCTAACCATAAATATTCATATCATACAGACTGGAAACTTAAGGATCATGGAGCTGTGCAGGTCAGCAGAACAGCATTTGGGAAATGCTGACCTAAATGTCAAATATGGTCTGCATGCAGTCCTTAGAATATTTTTTAGCTTTATTTTTATTTTAAAGTTAAGGAATGATTGTATTCACTTCAGTTAGTCAAGACAAAATTTATAGGAAGAGGTTATCATGTGACTATGCTTTAAAAAAGTTGGTTGAGGATAATAAAAGTAGTTTCAGTAACCATCATATCATGCAATTATTGAGTCAGCAATTTTAGCCGCCTAATTTTTATTATTCAAGGTTTTAATTTTAATTTTTTTCTTCGATTCCATCCATACTATAACTTACTATAAGAAATATAAAATTATTTCACAGAGCAATTTTTTATAATATTATCCAATTAGCAACAATTATTTATATATTGCAGTATTTCAGCTGTAAAACCTATTGATTTGACCACTATGACTGAATATTTATTTATCCATAATTCTTTAAAAATATATTGAACTTCAGTAATTTATTTGCTCCTAGTTCTGTGTTGAGCTACCAGCGACTCTGTGGACACATGAGGCCAGGGATGTCATTTGGGTAGGGCAGGGTGAGGCATTTTCCCCCCCTGAATTTTATTTCAATTGCAATGTACTGTGCGGTCTCCAGTAATAAACAACTTAACATGCTGACCAAGTTTTAGTTTTGCCCCCCTCCTTTCCCCTGAAAAAGACACCCCTGCATGAGGCTCCGGGAAGAAATAGATCCCCAATATGCCCCTGCTTGTGGCTTGGGTTAGTTATAGAATTTAAACCAGGCATTGAAAAACGTGTATGATGTCTGTAGTCTGTATAGTATAAGTGAAATTCATAAAAATGTAAGTGTAACATGCATGGCATAAATCCATAAGTCTCTTGCCCTTGCTAAATAAAATTATTATCTTCTTAAATAGTAATGAGTCATCAATTTAACGGATCATAATAAAATTAATTTAAATTGCAGCGCCCACCCTCTCTGTCAGTGCCAGCAAAACCAAGTTGAAGTTGCCTTTTCCCTCTCTTCATGGTCCACAGTGGTGTTTCCTCAGACCCAAAAAATATGATTTTTCAAAGGTGAAGTGGTAGATTACCCTAATTCTATTAATCTATTTTTAATTATTCATAAGAATGAAACAAAAGGGAGAGAATCCTACACAAACGTACGTCATGGCATGGATTTGGGGAAATTAGCTGAATGAATTATTTATATTTTATAGGACTTGTCAATTTAGTTAACTGCTAAGTAACACTATCTATCTAATATTAAAAGTTAAATTGTCAAAAAAACTTAATTTTAAGTAGTTTTACTTTTTAGTAAATTTTAGTCTTTTTTATTTTTAGTTTGTAATTTGTTGAGGAAAGTAATTGAAGAAAATAAGTGAAAATAAAAATATGACTATGACTAATGTAATGAATGTAATGTAGTTATTCAGAATATTACATACATTTTCTAACATTCAAACCATCTTTTTTTACCTGTAAAAAATTCCAGTGTCTGCTTAAAATTATAAACTAAAACTAGTGTGCAACCAAAATGCCTAATAATTATTAATAACTATCATTAAGCTATTGAAGGCTATTGCAACGTCTGCTATGACACATTGTTTACAATACGCGCGTTTATAATGAACCGGAAGTTATTACTGTCAAACGACGAACAAAATTGAAATCGAAGTTTAACTTTATAAATTATGTGAATTTGAATTACATTCAATTTCATAATTTCATTGCATTTTTTTTTTAGGTTTGTCTTCTTCTCTTTTTTTCTTATATTAAGCTCAATTTTAAACTTCTGTAGTCTAAAATATCAGAACAGAAATACAAATTTTCCCTTTTCTTATATTTATAAATATCAACGCAATCTGTTACTGAAGGCTTAATAACTTAATAAAATAGTGTGCAATGTTTTTATCAGAATCCGTTATGGTTATAAAAGTTAAAATATGTTAATCATTTAATGTAAAATTATGATATAAAAATTGTATTCACTGTCAAATAGCTTCATTAGTATTTTGTAATACTTGGTCTGCGGGGAGGAGTGTGGGGGGGGGAGAACAGAAATGACGTCACGTTGTTTTGTTTTGTTTTTATTTTACTACCCCTACCCCCACAACCCCCCAAAAAATGTTTCAAATAGTCTGCAAAAGTCAGATGCCCATCCCCTCTAATATAACGTCAAAATCTCTGCACCCCCTCCAAACTAAAATAAATAATTAAAATTCTCACTGAATTGTTCAATTTTAAATGGTTGGCCTACGAAATGGTTGGCAAAACTGTGAATGATTTGGTGCTGGTGTGTGTACAGTGTGACCATTAACTGGTGTGTGTAAAGTGTGACCATTAACTGGTGTGTGTAAAGTGTGACCCTTAACTAGTGTGTGTAAAGTGTGACCATTGATAGTGGTAGAAAGATGGAACAAGACACTAAAAATAATGTTAAATAAAACAACAATAGACCACCCTAGAGAATGGCACCTATATATACCCATGGTTCTATTCGCCTATAGAGAGAGTATAGAAGACACCACTGGGTACTCTCCATTTGAGCTAATGTTTGGGGCCAATCCAAAGGGACCTTTAACTCTTTTTAAAGAAAATATTTTAGGCCAGAAAGGCACACAACAGGACACATTTGACATAATTACAAAAATTAGAGAAAGGATAACATATGGCATAGAAAATGCTAAAGAAAACACTGATAGGGAGTCTAAAAGACAAAGACACATAAAGAATACACATAGATACCTCAGAGATCTTAAAGTACATGATAAAGTTTTGGTATGGTTGCCAAACAATAATGGACAAAAGATTTGGCAGGGTCCGTTTACAATTCATGACAAGTTAAATTTAGTTGATTATGTAATTCACATGAAGGGTGAATTGAAAGTCCTACATGTGGACTTGCTCAGAAAATATGACTCTGTTCCTGAAGAGTTAGAAACCATCAGTAATGAAATAAGTAGCACAGCCACCGTTGCTAGTGTTATACAATTAGAAGACAATGAAAATAACACCACAACAAACAGACACTTAACAACAATTCTAAAAGAATACAAAGATGTCATCACAGAGAACATAGGACACACTAGTAGTTTATTAGGCCAGAAAGGCACACAACAGGACACATTTGACATAATTACAAAAATTAGAGAAAGGATAACATATGGCATAGAAAATGCTAAAGAAAACACTGATAGGGAGTCTAAAAGACAAAGACACATAAAGAATACACATAGATACCTCAGAGATCTTAAAGTACATGATAAAGTTTTGGTATGGTTGC